GACAGAGTGAAGGTACACAGGACCTAAAATTTCCACTCTTTTATTAGACCCGGGTCCAGTGGACCCGAACATCCTGTATGTAATATAAGTGTGTAGGGGGGGTGTACAGTGTGTGGTCATTGAAAATTTGTTTTGATATATGTTCTTCACAGAAAACGAGCCAAGGCCAATGAGTATGAGTTTGAAAAAATAATTAATGGTATAATTTTTCTTTTGACAAAAAGTGAAAACGGGTCCCACAGACCCGAACACCATACAAGGGTTAACTGCATCTGTGCGTCTCTCTCTACAAACAATAAAGCTGTGAGTTTACTTCAAAAACAGCTCTTTTATATGGCGTCAAAAGTGGGACAAAACAGCGCAAGCGCATGGAACGGATCCGCAAAACGGGTCCGTATCGGAGTCCACTTGCACAGCGCAACGGATCCGAAACAGATAAGGATTACGGATAATAAAGCGGTTCATCCGAACCCGTTCATGAAGTAGCTCATCCGGCCCGGATCCGACCCGGACCCGTTGATAAAGAAACGGACATATACAGCGATCTGTCTAAAAACGATCGACTTAGATCTTGGGATTTAAGAATCGATATCGATTCGTTAAAATTAAGATTTTTGGTACGATTACGTGCACAGTTACACCCTATATAACTTAAATCTTAGTATCTGTAAGGGTTTTATAATATAAGTATGAATTTAGAAAGAAAACTTACCGCTTTACTCTCTGCCATCATCCAATTCCAATTATTAGATCTGCGCGCGCGTGCGGGCTCTGCTCGCAGTTTTGTTATTTGTCTTTGCAGCGTGCTGATGTGTGTACACAATCATATTTTTTGTGCTCGAGTTTGGAATTTGCCATTTCTTTAGGTTTACATTTTACGTGCGAGCTTTGTCACTGTGCGCACAGTACTGTAATTCGCTTGCGCGCTGTGTTCATGCGCTTGCGCTGTTTTGTCCCACTTTTGACGCCATACTTTTACCTCCTTGTTGCTGAGAAATATAATGTAGAGATTCATTATTGAAACTATTTTATTAATAAAATTCGTGGGGCAGCGTTGACAGGAAGTTTCTGTGCTCCTGAATGTTTGTGTGTGCGAGTGGAGTGTGTGTGTATGTGTGTGTGTGTGTGTGTCAATTAAAGCAATGCATTAATATAGAACACCTGTGTGTATATATATATATATATATATGTATATACACTTGGTCCCCCCCCCAATGTTCAAGACATGTTACGGCCTTGCTAAAAAGACACAATGCTATTATTATTTTTCACCATGAGAAATACAATCTACATCAGACTGTTCTGTTCAAGGTTGTTCTGCTAAATCTCACAGTGAGTTATAAAGATGGTACATATTTGAACCTTCTCAAGTCTGTATATGGATAAGTATTCTCAATTCCTTAAATTTAGTATTTAACTGCATTCTAACGAGGTCTGATCAAACCTAAAACAGAATGAGACATTTGAGCAAATAACTGAAAAAAAAAATGCTCACTCTCATTCTGAATCCAAATTAAAGTAAAAATCTTTACCCAGTGAGGCTGTGCATGTCTGCATAAATAACAAAAGAACCAGTAACTTTCAGTTTGGATGCTAATATTTGATTGAACAGTCATTGCTTTTTTTTTTTTTTCTTTTCCTAAAAAAGAACTAAGCTGGGGAACAGGGCAGCACATTCAGCTAGAAGGAGATCACTGGCAGATAGCAATCTTCTGCTCAGAAAGTCTAGAGTCCAATTTCCAATATACATTTGTTCTATTGCCTTTAGCTATCGAATGCCTAAGTGACTTTGGCTGGCCAAAACCCAACATAACATATGAATATGCAAATACTGTTTGCTTTTGCCTCTTTGTTAAAGCTAATAAGAAACAACTTCAACTGACAGCATGTTGAGCTATATTTCCAGCAAATCCATAATTTTGACCATTTACGTTCCATGAAAACAAAGTGCTCATGTACTGTTAATTGATCATTTTAAGCATTTCTTTATTTGCATAGTCCCTTTAAGTCAAGTTAGTCCACTCAACAGACGTCATAGCAATTTTCAAAGCATAAATGATTATATAGGTTTAAAATTAGACTTAAATTGGTCAAAAAGTATAGTTAACCATTAGCACAGTTAAAGTTCATGATGATTTTCTATTATTTCTATGATTTCTTAGTTATGCTAGTCAAAAGCGCTTAGAAATCCCTCAATATATAAAATAAATATACTGTATACATTTGTGCTCGAGATGTTATTGAAACTGAACCCACATCTGATGATTCAAGACACTACATCTCATCCAAAATTCTGTTCTTCCACACACTCTCGAGGACAACATATGAAATCCCTCTGATCTCAGTGGGGTGCTAAACCATAGATAACATATAAAGTT